GTTTTAATGAGTTTTTAGTATCTTTTAGAGTTAGATTAAGCTATGTGGGGAGCCTGACAATTCTTTTCTGTACTTCTTCTCACTGGTCTGTATCCAGCACTCGATGTTTTTCACTCAGCGCCTTTTGCCCACGATTCTTCTCGGTCAAAGAGGATCATCAGCGCTGCCTCTACTGACTGGGAGAAGCACAAATTGAAGCTCAGTGCAGTATTTCCCAGTCCTTCCCCAGCCCTACCAAGGTAGGACAGGCACTTCATCTCTGCAGGTATCTCATGCAGATGGCCGAGAGACTCCAATCAGACCCATTCTGGGGAATGTCCTGTACATCAGCCTGAATCAGGAAGGATTCTCCAGCTGCAAAGTCCAACTCCAGTACTGGAGAGTTTACCCTCACAGACTATATAGTAGGGCCTAGTTAGGAAACACTTGCAGAAGCATGTGGCTAAGTCTTCCTGCAAATCCACACCAGAGAAATCAGATGTGCCTGCAGGCAAATGCATAAGTTTCACACGTGAGGCCATAGGAGACGCTGAAGGATTTGGACTTCTTTAGTCTACAGAAGAGTAGAGTGAGGAGGAATTTGATAACAGACTTTAATTACCTGAAGGACAGTTCCAAAGTAGATGGAGAGAGGCTATTCTTGGTAGTGACAGATGACAGAACAAGTCTCAGTTTGCAGTGGGGGAGGTGCAGGACCCACAGGGCATAGCACAGACTTTGCCACATTACCTATAGCCATTCTCAGCATAGAGGATTGAATTACAACCAGTTCAAGTCATGGGCACAAAAGAAGCATCCCCCACAGAGCCACTTCTCTGCTCCCAAGACTCAAAACAGCAATTTTGAAGATTTGGTTGAGGGTCTGTCCGATCTCCCTCCTATCTCAGTACCTTTGCTATAGTACTATCTTTTTACACATTGATTATGCACCTTTTACTACCAATGAGTGTGTATAACAACAGATCGGTGGGTACTAGAGATCATCCACATGGCATATATCATCCCTTTCACTTCCTTCCCTTCAACCTCACCACCTACCCCATCCATCTTCAGAGAACCCTCCCACAAGCAGTGTTTACACCATGAGGTGGACCACCTACTTCATATCGGAGCCATGAAATGGGTCCCCAACCTCTACCAGGGCAGGGAGGTTTATTTCAACTTCTTCCTTTCCCAAAAGAGAACTGGCAGATAGAGGCCAATTCTCGACCTCCACAAATTAAACAAGTTTCTGCACTAGCAACATTTCAAGATGGTCACTCTTGCAACAGTCATCCTGGCACTAGACAAGGGGGAGTGGTTCACAGCCCTTGACCTGCAAGATGCTTACTTTCACTTTACCATCCTCCTTTCCCACAGACGTTTCCTCAAATTTGCCATAGGGCAGGACCATTTCAGATTGTCTTCTGCCCCGAGGGTTTTTCTAAGACCCTGGCACTGGTTACCGCCTGTCTACAGAAACAGAGAGTCATTATATTCCCTTATCTCAACAACTGCCTCATAAAGGGACCATCATGCACCAAAACAATCAACATGGTCCACAAGACCCATGGGTCTGTTTATGCAGAAACGAAGAGTGAGGGGGTATTTGATAGCAGCCTTCAACTTCCCGAAGGGAGGTTCAAAAGAGGATGGAAAAAGGCTGTTCTCAGTAGTGATGGATTGCAGAACAAGGAACAATGGTCTCAAGTTGCAGTGGGAGAGGTCCAGGTTGGATAACAGGAAAAACTATTTCACTAGGAGAATGGTGAAGCACTGGAATGGGTTATCTAGGGAAGTAGTGGAGTCACCATCCCTAGAGGTTTTTAAGTTTCGGCTTGACAAAGTCCTGGCTTGGGTGATTTAGTTGGGATTGGTCCTGCCTAGGACAGGGTGCTGGACGTGATGACCTTCTGAGGTCTCTTCCAGGTCTATGATTCTATGGGTATGTCCACCTCCATATGCATTGCCACCAACATTGGTTTACCACAGTGTACATTCCATCCCACCATCTACACCACGGGACAGTTTCTTTCCCATATAACATCCTTATCACATTACAATGGTGAACTGTTTCGGCATCTTGTTTCACCAAAGGGATCCACCTACAGCACCACATAGCACAGGGCACGTGGTCACCACAGAAGTCCAGATTCCACATCAGTCTTCTGGATCTCAGAGCTGTGAGAAATGCCTGTATTCAATTTGCCCCCATCATTTTAGCAAGATGGTTCTCTGTAGTTTTATCTACAGTGGAACACCCACAGGGACAGCACTCAAAGAAGAAGAGAATCTTACTCACCCTGTGCAGTAACAATGTTTCTTCAAGATGTGTGTCCTTGTGGGTGCTCCGCAACCCACTCTCCCCTCCTCTACTTCAGAGTATCTGCATACTTGGAAGCAGAGAAAGAACTGAGGAGGGTTTGGCCATGCGTGAGAGGTATTAAGGCACGAACACCATGAGGCACTTACTGCACATGCAGCATGTGCATCCTGACCGACTACTGCTTTTGAAATCTCTGATCTGTGATGCCAGGATGACCCAATGCCTAGGGTATGTCTAGACTACATGGCTCCGTTTACGGAGCCATGTAGATTAGTTTACTAGACATAGGAAAATGAAGCGGTGATTTAAACCTCATTTCACGAGGCCTAACGGGGCAGTCGACAAGGGCTTCCCTTTTTGACCATGGAGCGTCCAGACTACTGCACTGTGCTGCCAAACAACTGATCGGCACAGCACGGCAGCCATTTTGATGTAAATGAAGCGGCAATTATTTAAATCACCGCTTCATTTTCCTATGTCTAGAAACCTAATCTACATGGCTCCATTGACGGAGCCATGTAGTCTAGACATACCCCTACAGTGGAGCACCCACAGGGACACATATCTCAAAGAACCATCATTACTGTATAAGGTGAGTAACTTCCTATTGTTACTCACACCCTTCTCCTTCTGCTTTGGATCTTGTCAGTCAGGTTGACTCACTGCTACCATGCCTTCTGCTCATCACTCTAGGTATTAGTTCTGTTTGTCAGCAGGGCACCCTCTTCTGGCTTGTATCTTGCTTATCGTCATTCTCTGCTCTGATATATTTGCCATCTAGACCCACATTGTTCCTTGGTCTGTAGCATCCTGTTCATGGCACTGGCAGAGGGTTGTGCCCACCACTATATTCCCCCTCACCCTCTTCCACAGAGGTGTATCAGTAGTCCTTTGTCTCACACCTGCTGCTGTGGCCAGTTGCAGCCAAGGTCTAGCCCTGCACCTCAGGGGCAAGCCACATTCTATAAAGGCTCTGTGATTGCTAGATGTGGTGCAAGGCATGGGGAGGGGAGACCTAGGCCCACCCACTACTCTGGATCCTGACGCAGACACCCTATATTGGCAGCCTTGTTCGGCACTCCTTTACTCTACCTTTACTGCTCTGCCTAGAGCCACGTCCCTGTGAGTCCTTGCACCTTCTTGGCCCTTGTGTAAAGGCCTATAGCCTGGTAGGTATCAGGCCGGAGTGTGTCTCTCTGATTCCCTAAGCCTGCCCCAACACTGCTCCACCTAAGATGTTTCTCCCTAGAGAAACTCTGTTTTGCAGAACAGCTCCTTATAAATAGGGCTCTCATTGGCCTCCTGTGAGCCTTTTCCTGATTAGCTGAGGCTCTGCACAGGCTCCCTCCAACCTGCTTTAACTCCTGCCTGGAGTGGGGCAATTGCCCTACTACAGAACTGAAGATGCAGTTGGTCTGCCCTGCCCTTTATAGCCTCAGAGGCATACGGCAAACTATGGCAAATGTGTGGGTCAAGACGCTATTTTCTAACATCTGACTCCAGGGGGATGTTGTGCATGTGTCACTCCTCAGTGGAATACAGACAGGAACCAGACATGTAAATAAACTTTTCTTCTGCTTTTGACAGGAAAGGTTTCTTCCTCTTAAGCAGATGTAGATATAAAATCCAGATCATTGCTATTGTGCAAATAGGGCTCAAGCTGCACTTTTTAGTTCCAAACTTTGGCAAACAGTTGTAGAACAAGAATCCCAAGGACTTCTGTCATATCTTCCAGATCTTTTCCCTCCACATACTATTATTACTTCAGTCTTGTCTTCATTGAGGTTTTCTTAGACTCTTGTTCTTCAGTCTCAACTAGGTGTTATCTGTGGTATTCAGTATTATCTGGCCCAGATATTATCTGGGCTGCTTGAGTGACTGAGGAGTTATAAAGCTGGATGTTGTTTGTATGCCAAAATCATTGCAGCCTCGACATCGAATCTCCTTGACCTTGTCATTCTTGGAACACACAAGGTTTTGGCTTATTTTATATATTGATAAGTGATCTTCTGGCAATGAATGAAGATCAGCTGTCCATATTGATATTATAAGATTTATACCAATGATTCTTAACCCATGGGCCACTTGTGACCTAGTCAGTATACAGCTGAAGTACATGTGGCATCATTGGGGCCATACAGATATAGATATAGATATAGATATAGATATAGATATAGATATAATGGATGTAGCCCACATTACACAGAGAAAACTTCATATGCAACCTACAGAGGTAAATATGTTGAGAACCACTGCTGTATACTGTTGAATGGAAGGGTTAATGATATTAATGATATGGCACTCTATGGTAACTCTAACTTTAGAGCCTTTGGGTAGACAACAGTTGCCCATAACTATCTATTGTGATATCTCTAAAAGATAAAGAATACAGCCACATTAAAGCAGCATCATTGTTCCACTATAATTCAAAAGTTAGTAGCACCTCATGATTGATACTGTGAAAGGATGTCGATAGACTTTGCAGGGCAGAATTATACTACGCATAGTATACAACATGTAAAATATAGTGCAATGCTTCATCCAAAATGGGCATCTGTATGTTTCTGGTGCAGTCTTAAGCAATCTAGGCTAGTATGAAAGCTTTAAGTAAGTGTCAATTGCACAATTTACATATTTCATTACTTTTTTTTGTTGTTGTTTTTCTGTCTCTGACATTGAATTGCTTTGGTTGCAGAAAATCAGCCATTTATGCTACTAAGCTCCAATAGCACTTACATTTCTGATCTGGACAATGTGCCATATGTAGGTCAGTCTGAAGAGTTTACAAAACACCACGACAGTCCATTACCATTATGTGGAAATGTAACTGAAAGGAAAAAGCATGCAGCATCTTGTAGATCGTACGCTCACACTGATATAATGGATTTTAATAAAAAAGTGACTGATAGTAATGTGTCAGATTGGAGCACTGAGAAGGGCAACAACACCGATGAAATGAATGTGCAAGCAAAACCAAATGAGTTGTATCACCCTGGTTCACCACTACAACTTAGCAATGATTTTAAGATAGAGTCACATGAGGTACAATTTGGTAACCATTTAAAGCCCGAGGAAACTGTTTATGATACTGATATGGAACTGACTGCCAGTGATGTGGGTAAGATACTCACAATTACATCAAAAGTCCAAAACAAAAGGAAAAATAATATGAAAACTAATACGATTTCAGCAAATTTGAGGAAGGTGAGGTATTCAAACACAGGGAAAAAAGACAAAGAGAAAATTAAAAGCATTCCTAAAGGCGGTATAGATTTCCATAGTGAAAAAAGGCACAAAAGTACTGAAAAGATTATTGATTTAAACAGTAGTGAATCAGATACTTCAAAGTTGCAGATCGAGACAAAACTGAAGGCCGAAGGGAATGCTTTGGGAGAGATGATCCTACAAAGGACCAATATACACGATGATATACAAAATTCTCAATACAATGGTAAAACTACTGGAAGGACTTACCTAGTTAATTTAGCAAGCCCAAATAAACAACATAAAACTGATTTACAAAAAATAAAAAAACAAACTCTGTCAGAAAAATTAGAAAATATGGACAAGTTTCCAAACTCGGACTCTAGCTCATCTAATAGCAAGGCCTCATCAAAAGAATACTGTGCAAAAAGTTTGCTATGTTTGGAAAACCACATATCCAATGTATTATCTTTACAGCAGGACTTATCGGATGTAAATGAAAAACATATAAAACCAAAAAGAAATGGCAAGACTTTCCAAATCCCTTCTAAAATAAGCAAAACAAATTACTATAGACAGGAAATTGGAGCACACTCAGCAAGTAGTTTAAAAAGGCCTGGAGCAAAGGCAATCAAACCTGACTGCAAGACAAAAGACAAGAACAGTTATATAAAGAGTGAATGTCACAAAGAGGAGAAGTACAGTGACAGGAGAAAAACACAGAGTTCAAGTCACTGTGTAGATAAAAAAAAAACAGAACAAAAGAGTAATAAGATTTCACTGGGCGGTTCAAAGAATGCGCTGGCAAATGCTAGCCTGAAAACAAATATTATGCAGCTAGGAGATTTTACACAATGCACGCACTCTGTACGACCAGAGTTAAAAAATGAAGATATGTTGCATACTCAGATTATTCATGGAAACAAAACTACAAATACACAGCAAATTCAGGAAATTTTAGCTATTAAGAGCAATACAACTGTACAAAAATGGGCTAAATCTTCTTTGAAGAACATGGATGAATATAATGTTAATATATTAAAGAAAGGGGCAGACCCTTTATCAAAGGCAAATAAGAAGATTTGCATTGTCATTTCTCCAGATTATCAGATTAAAAGCAACGAGAGACTTAGTTCTGAGATAAGGCTAGAAAAATGTGACCTTAGACAACTTGACCAAGTGAAACATAATATTTTGGATGATCAAAAGGTCAAAACAGGGAGAGATTCCTTCACAAACAAGTTGGTCAATAAATCAATATTAACTAAAATTATGATTGAAGAATCATGCCTTTCAAAATTCTCATCTATGACCTGTTCTAAGGATATGCCATTTAATTCATGCAACTTTCTGCAGGAAGGTGTCACACACATGGAGCTTTCTGCAGTTGAAAACCATAACATTTCAGAAAACTGCCCTGTACTGAAGAATGCTGAAATCTTTGAAAAAACTAACCATGAGAAAGTATTGTGTGTCAATAGAGCAAAAGAAAAAATGGAGACAGATTTTAAAGGATCCTGTAAAAAATCCCCAGGAACAGATAGTAGTAAGTAGTTGAGTAGAAAAATAAATAAGTAAATCTTAGATTGTATAATTCCTTGCACAAAGGAAAGGTAACTTTTTTTTAGTATTGCCCTTTGTAGATTCCCTCTTCCTGCTTAGAAATGCAGAAGTGAACTTTGAGGAATTGAGAACAACTGATGGGGGTTTTGTTGTTGTTGATACAGTAGCTAATATTTTAATGGTTTATAATATAGCCTGGAATCCTGTTTAACCCAAGCAACTTTAAATTTTTTAGAGTATCAGAGAATCAACCTTTGCTGTCTTTGCAATGAATGTGATAGAATTACATTGAAAGGTTTGTTCTTGAATATTTAAAATGGAATTATTCAGGAGGACAACTTCTCTCTGTTTCACTGTTGTGGAAGGGACAAATAACAGTTCAAAGGCATATTAGACACTTCTTCTTGCAAATGGAGGATAGAGTCAAGAATATTTTCCATTTAGCATTTTTATAATTCTTCCAAGAATGAAATTTCTTTAAGAATATCTTAACTTCAACATTAATTCTGAGATTTTACAAAGAATACATTGTTCAGAACTAGAACTTCTCTGATATTTGTCTATAAAAATATTTTCAAGTGCCAGTGTTCCCTCTAACATTTTCTATCCTTGGGTGGGTTGAATTTTCTTATGTGCAACACCAATATTGAGGTAATGTGTGGATATGCACCACCGTACAAACAAAAAAACCCACCCGTATCTTCAGGGATAACAAGGACCCCAAAGATCAGGAAGTCCATGTCTCCAGAGCGTCATTTTCCTCCCCAAAAAAGGTGATTGCAGGAACATTCTTTCTCCTAAGGTGCACCAGGACCTTTTATGGCAGGTGGCCCGCAGCCTTAATGTTCCTACTTAGGAAGTGGTAGAAGATGCAGACCCCATGGTCAACATCTTGGCCCCTGAAGCTCCATCCATGCTGGCATTGCCGTTCATTCAAGGCCACTAAGTCCACCATCAAGGTGCAGTAGTAAACTCTGGCCTTCCTCCCATTGATGGTAAAGGGGGTTGAGTAGTGTTACTTTCTTCTCCAGTGGGGGTGTCAGGGATGTTCCCCACTTTGGCACTCCAAGTGCAGAAGATGGGGGCCTGCAAACAGCTCAAAATGTTTAAAAAAAAACTTTGCCGCTGCAGTAACTTGTTACAAAAAACTTCCCCCAAGAGTCACAATACAAAGATTTTGGGGAATTGCTGCCACCATCAAGTGATTTTTATCCCTAAAAAAACCAGGGATGAACACTTGAATCTGCTCTCAGGGGTGCCCCAAGCTCTTTTGCCCGAAAAGAGCTTGAAAAAAGAAAGAAAAACAAGCTGTGGTCTGTGGTAGCTGACCTCTCAGTCTGAGGCATGCAGATACACACAGACAGACAGATCTTTTAGGACATAAGAATGAAATCATCACCTTAAAAAAGTGATTTTATTACAAAACAAAAGATAAACTTGATAAAGCATACTTGTTTGCTAGGTCTAAGGGTATGTCCACACTACCACCCTAGTTCGAACTAGGGTGGTTAATGTAGGCAACTGAAGTTGCAAATGAAACCCGGGATTTAAATATCCCGGGCTTCATTTGCATCTTGCCGGGCGCCGCCATTTTTAAAGCCCCAGTAGTTCGGACTCCGTGCCCGCGGCTACACGCAGCACGGAGTAGGTAGTTCGGATTAGGCTATCTAATCCAAACTACCGGTACTCCTCATTTTCGGAAAATCATGCCAGTGTAGACGTAGCCTGTCCATTTCCAACACAGTAAAAAGTTCAGTGCTATGGTGGACAAAACCATACAATATATGTGAGGGCATTTCCTTTCAAACCCTGTAACCTATGATGCTCATTACCACAGATGCTTCCCTCACGGGCTGGGGAGCATACATGAAAGATCTCACAACCCACAGCCTATGGATTCCAGCAGAGAGAATGCTACCTATCAATGTCCTCAAGTTCAGGGCCATTTAGCTCGCATGCCAACATTTTCTACTTCACATCACCAGAAGGCACACCAGGAAATATACCGACAATACAGCACGTATGTTTTATATAAACAGACAAGGTGCGACATGATCCCATGTCCTATGCACGGAAGCCACAGCACTTTGGAACTGGTGCTTTACTCATGGCATCTCCATAAGCGCATGCCTTCTCCCTGGCACCCTAACCATAACTGACACCTTAAGCAGAGCCCTGCCACAAGATCACAAGTGGCAGATCGACCCTTTAGTTCTAGCAGAGATATTTGCACAATGGGGATACCCTCACATAGACCTATTTGCCACCAGAACAAACAAAAAGTTCCCACGTTATTGCTCCAGGGTGGGCATTGGAAAGGACTCACTTGGAGACACTCTTATCCTCAAGTGGGACCATCACCTACTCTATGCATTCCACCCCCCCTTTTCCTCCTCAACATGTTACTCATCAAAATATGAAGGGACAAAGTGAGGGTTATTCTAATAGCACCTTGTTGTCCTTGGCAACTGTGGTTTCTGCTCCTGAACAGATTGACCCTATATTGCCTGATCACACTCACATGCAACCCGAGCATATTATTCCAACTGAGAAACGAAGCTCCCCATTCACAATTTCTCACACTTCACCTCAAGGTGTGGTACCTTGATGGTTCATGGGCATAGAATTACATTGTTCAGACCAGGTATGGGAGATGCTCCTCCACAGCAGTGCTCCTGCAGTGAGGAAGACATACAGTGACAAATGGTCTCGTTTTGTATATTGGGCTGCTTCTCGTAACATATCACCGGAGAAAGCCCCTCTATCTGCAGTTCTTGAATACTTAACTTCACCTTAAGCAATCCCACCTTTCCATGAGCTCAATTAGAGTACACCTTGCAACAATAACAGCATTCCACATAACAGTTGACAACACCACAATCTTTGCACATCCCACAACCAAATGCTTCCTCAAAGGCTTACAAGCATTATATCCTGACATTGCTGGCCCACAGACACTTTGGGCCCTACACCTGGTACTAAAACACGATCACAAAACTTCTATTCAAACCTATGGCCACATGCTTCCTTTGTCCCTTAACACTCAAAATGGCATTCTTAGTTGCAATAATGTCAACATCTCAGGTGGGAGAGATGGCTGCCCTAATGGCAGACCCACACTTCACCATCTTTTTTAAGAACAAAGTGTCTCTATGGACACATCTGAAGTTTTTACCCAAAGTATGTTCCACCTTCCATCTTAATCAACAATACGCTTACCTATATTTTTTCCCCAAGCATCATGTCAACTTCTTTGAGGTACAGATATACACGTTTGACATCCGCAAGATGCTCTCCTTCTACCTTCACAGAACAAGACCGTTTAGATCATCCCCAAGACTTTTCATCTCCATTGCGGAGCACAACAAGAGACATTAGATATCATCTCAAAGATTCTCCCTTTGGATCTCTGGCTGCATCACAATGTGCGACAATTTGAATAGTTTACCACTATCTACCTCACTCCGTGCACACTCCACAAGAGTGATTGCCACTTTCGTCGCTTATCTGAGGAAGGTTCCCATGTGCTGGTGCTGCATGGGCATAAGAACAAATTTTTGCTAAGCACTATGCACTTTCTGCCAGCCCTCTTCCTTGAACAAGTGTAGCAAAGGCCATACCTGCTTGATCCAAAGTCCTTACTTCCATAAGACAAATTGCTTTGCAATCACTTGCTGTGGAGCACCTCCAAGGATGTCTCTCAAAGAAGAGGAGGTTACTCACCTTGACTGTATCTGACGTTCTTCGAGATGAAAGTACCCTCCCTTCTTCCCCCCTACTTTGGACCCACCCCCAAAAAAATCTTTTTCACCAGCCAGATAGAGAAGGAATTGAGGGGAGGTGGCCATGCCTGCACAGTAGTGCCAGATGGCACTTCACACCTTGCACACCATGCATGTGTGGCCCCCAATGCACTGTTAAAAAGAATCCACTCTGTGGCACTGGGATGCACTGACACATGCTGTGGAGCACACCCAGGGATGCTCATCTCAAAGAACATCAGTTACAGCCAAGGTGAGTAACCTCCTCCTCTTCAAGATATGTTGTTTATGTCCATTCCAAATCCCACCAACTCCCCCCCCCCCCCCCGGAGAAGAAAAGGAAAAGAAAAGTAAGGGGGTAGGCTCAATACTTACTTTTAAAAACTTTCTGCGGACCCCCTGCAATGTGCTCGCATACTCCCAGGGGTCTGTGGACCATAGGTTGGGAATCATTGCTGAGGGAAAAAACTTCCAATGATCATGCACACAGTGCACATACATGCATCTACTGGAATAGATCCGAGCAACACATCTTAAAGAACAGCAGTTACAAAAGGCAAGTAATTATTTTATCCCTATCCATCAGTCCTGTGCTGAGTGGAACTTGGTCTTACTGAAAATTGGGTCTATGTGACTCCAAAATAGGTAGTGTATCCAGAGAACTTCAGTTAATAAACAATAGCTTTCACATGTTTTTAACAGGTTTAATCAGTGATTTTCTGGGCTCCATACTATAGAAAGGATGTGGACTCATTGAAGAGGGTCCAGTGGAGGGCAACAAAAATGATTAGGGGGCTGGAGTGCATGACTTACGAGGAGAGACTGAAGGATTTGGGTTTGTTTAGTCTGCCGAAGAGAAGAGTGAGGGGGGATTTGATAGCAGCCTTCAACTTCCTGAAGGGTGGTTCCAAAGAGGACAGAGAAAGGCTGTTCACAGTAGTGACGAATGGCAGAACAAGGAGCAAAGGTCTCAAGTTACAGTGGGAGAGGTCTAAGTTGAATATTAGGAAAAACTATTTCACTAGGAGGGTGGTGAAGCACTGGAATGGGTTCCCTAGGGAGGTGGTGGAATCTCCATCCCTAGAGATTTTTAAGTCTCGGCTTGACAAAGCCCTGACTGGGTTGATTTAGTTGGGATTGGTCCTGCCTTGGGCAGGAGGCTGGACTTGATGACCTTCTGAGGTCTCTTCCAGCTCTATGATTCTATGATTCAGAGATTATTTGAAATGAAAGATGGAATTGTAACTGAATTCACAGGTAGAAAGGCTCTGCAAGATCAGACAAATACCAGTTTATATTCCCATACTTCCTTGCCTAAACTACAGAATATTTTAGAAGAAAATTCAACAATACGAGCTAGACGGAGACAAGCCACTGTTTGCTACAAAGAACCCAAAATAAACAGGTCAGTATAAGTAAATTACTTGTTTTTCTTTCAGCAAATTGTTATTTCATCAGTGTTACTGAGGTATTGCTATCAGATATTTCTCTGGTTTATTTTTTGACATGCATATCACACCTAAAGTGGTCTGTGACATGATGCTGAATAACTAGATGGGAGTATAAACATAACCAAAGTTATGAAGAATTAATTATCCTGATTCATTCCTGTGTTACTTCACTTTTATGATGAAATAGTTTACTGAAGTCAATGCAGTTTTGCCAACATAAAGCTGGAGTAATGCAATGGAGAATTGGGCCTTATGTTTCCAACAATTAGTAATGGGTTGTGTACACATAGTTGTGAATACCTAACGTTTAGATGTTTAGTATTAATTAAGAAGGCTAACATTTTAATGTATATTGAGAACAGATTGTATGCTGACATGACTTCTTGGTGAACAAGAATTGCAAAGAGGTTTTTCCTTTCATATTTTATTCCTTTTCAATTTAGTTTTTTTTTCAGAATATTCATGTCCTGAATTTATATCGATCCAATTATGTCATTGTCTATACAACAGCCTTCCTCCCACTTATGTAAGTGCCCCACTACACCTGTAACTCCATCTAACATGAAAGGTATTGTGATGGGCCTGCCTCGCCCCACCATGTCACAGAAGGAAACACCGCACTCTGGAGCGAGTAGGCCAGCGTTCCCAGGCATTGCCGTGCATGTTCGGGTGGCCAGGCGACCAGACTAAAAGCCAAGCCAGCATGCCTGGGATGGGGGAGAAGTGCAGACACAGGGGGAGTGGCTGGCATCAGCCCGGAAGCACCTGATGGCCGTCGGAGGCGAGAGGTGGTGGGGGATGCTGTGGGAGGAGGACCCCATTTGGAGCATTGGGGTCTGGAAGAAGCCCCCAAATTACCCTGGGGGCACGGCCGGGCACAGGGGGAGGCCACTGCCCGGAGAAGGGGCAGTGAGAGGTCCAGCTGTTAAGCCCGAGTCAGGGCACAGACCGACATGGGAAGCGGCAGGGGGAGAGAGCGAGAGGGATGATCCAAGGGAACACAAAGGAGGGCACAGCTTCCCTTCCAAACAAGGAGGCTTGCCCTCATTGAACTTGGACAGTGGCTCAGAGGCCCCCGAAGTTGAGTGTAGCATGGAAGGCCCTACACCGGCGGGGCCACAGCTCTTAAACATGAGAAGATGCCAGACGTTGGTAAGACCCAAGGGTGGTGCAGCGGCGTGGAGAAGGAACCACAGCAGTGGAGTAGGAAGTGGCCCAGGGCAGGAGAGCGAGCGGTTCCAAGGACAGTCGGCAGGGTCCAGGGCTGTCTCCGCCGGACAAGTAGAGGCGCACTCCTCTGCCCTGTGGGCCCTGGGCCAAGACCTGGTAGAGAGGATAGGCCCCGGTTCCCCCTACCCACTGTCGCTACCAGGGAACTGGGTTAGGCTCGCAGAGCACCCAGCCAATCCCAGGTCAGGGAGACTGTTGGTGGAGGACACAGCACCCCAGAACTTAAGTGTAGTTAGGATGATGCAATGTCTGTGTGGACATTGCAACCCCTACAACTGCTGACTTTTCAGTTGCACAGCAGGAGCCATAAAAGTGACAAGAAAGCCCCTGCTATCCTGGAGAGTTAGACATCTTCAGACCTGGCTCTGGGCTGGGTTGTTTTTGGCCCCATCTCCTGCCTGGGCTCCCCCTGCCCAGTCTCTGCCTGGAGCCAGGGTTTATCCAGGGATGCTGTGGGAGGAGGACCCCATTTGGAGCATTGGGGTCTGGAAGAAGCCCCCAAATTGTTCCCTGTTGTACTGATCATGCCACTGACATCTGCCTTCTTGCTCTCTGGGGCTTCTTGGCACCCTGTCCTGCTGGGCCAGATCCTCTGTTCTTCTCCAGACAAGGCACAGAGTTGAAGTAACTGCTCCCTTGCACAGCAGTGCAGACACTGGACCACTTCAGCTTGGGAGGATGCAGTTCTCGGGCACAGCACCCAGGAAACTAACTTCCAAAAGGGGTCAAAATCCCAAACAAATAGATTTTTGTATAAAAGATTTACACAAGGAAAGCTTATGAGGATGTTTGCCCTTTTTATCAATGAAAGAGAGATGTGCACAATAGTTGTTCTCCCAGGTAACAATTATTTACTCTGGGCCTGATAGTAAGAAACTTATTGCATGAAGATTCTTACCCCAAAGAGCTGTTCTTATTTCAGACATAATTTTCAAGTCAAAGACAAACTCTCTTTCTCTGACTTAGATCTCCAACCCTCTTTGTATCCTTTTAGAGTGCCCCAGGCCATGTTCCCAGGCCAGTTGATTGCTTAAATAGACTCTCACCAGGGCAGGAAGCTTTTGTTTTACTTACTCCTTTTCCATGGAAAAATACCAGCATCAAAATAGAATCCCACTACCCAGTGGTAAGGTCATATGTGTTCCTAGGACCAACCACTGCTTAGATTTTCAGGACAAACAAGGCTGTTTACAGGTTGTCCAGTTGATCACCAAGTTACTAGGCTTTGGGGGCACTGGTAATGGCTCACATTAGCATATTTAAAACTATACACAGGCTCACACTTCACATACAAGAATGATACATTTGCCATAATAGGATATAGAGATCATTGGACTGTAACATTAATATTGACAGGTCACTTGTATTTTGTCCAAAGCATCACTGCGTTATGCATATTTATATTCATAAGCCAATTTTCATAAGGCATAGGGGTGGGTCACAAAGACTTAACAGGGAATGGGGAACAGAAGCTCTGGTTGGCTTCCTCTAGCTCCTGGTAGGAAACAAGGAAGAAAAAGCTCCAGGTGGGTTGGCTTCCCTTGCTCCCGGTGGAGAACCTGGGGCAGAATAGGGAACAGCTTGATAAGGGTCTTGTCAGTAAAGCTGAGACACCAAGCTCTCAGCACCATATGCTGAGCCCTGAGCCTCCACACTTCCATAGGGCTGTTTGTGACCCAGGACTGATTTTTGTTGTGGGTCAGTGGCTGATAGTAAAAAGATTCCCCACCTCTGAACTAGACAGTGAGATAGAAGGGCTACAGATAAGTTGAAAGAAAGACAATACATGTTACCTTTTTCATAACTTAATGCAAAGCACTTTTTTCACACGCTCCCTCAGACATGAATATAAGTAAATAAAAAGAACCTCCTAAATTAATCAAGCTATTTCTTCTACAGTCTGGAAAGCAAAAAAGAAAATTATTATTTCTATATTTAAATACTTGGAAATTGATCAGCTACAATGTAACACATACCATATAGCTACACAACTAATAAAGTTTTGAGGGTTATTAATTTGGAAAATAACTTGTTTGTACAATGGAATTTCAGAAATGTTTGTTTTCCATAAAACCTAAGAGAGATAATATAATTTCTCTTTATTTAAATGGCATTAATATTTTAATCCTTTCTTTTCTACAGTAAATTGAGACGTGGTGATCAGTTTACAAATATGGAATTTTTGAATTCCCCAGTCTTCAAAGTTAAAAATAAAAGAAGCTTCAAAAGTAAATCAAGATTAATATGAAGAAGACAAACTAGAAGAATATTCTACATTTTAAAATATATTATAATACCGGTGTTTTAAAAATTGGATAAATCTTCCTTACTGTTCTTTTATTTAATGAAGCTTGTTCTTCTTAGTTTCCAAAGTAGAGGTTTTTTGTGACTGCAGTCCTGGTCTTACACGGTAGAGTACTTCCCTGTAAGGCTAATAGGAATAGAGAGCTCACATTGGTGTTATTAAAGTTTTGTCAGTAACTTTAACTTTTTCCAAGATTTTTTAAAAGTTGTAAATTTTACTAAGAATAAAAACGATCCACTGGGTTTTTGCAGGAAATCCATTGTGGTGTTTTCTATACTGAACAATTTTTTTCTCATTCTGACTGGGAAAACTCTGATAACTATTCAATTCGTTAACAATAGTCCCATGCATTCTTTTTCTTTTTAAAATACAAAATTATAATACATTTATATAACATAGACCAAAAAAAATATGCTGAAGTTCTTCAAAAGTGTTCAAGTGCATTCCAATCAGGTGTGCATGCACGCACGTGCACAATAGCCGGAAATTCCCTCCTCCCCCAGGAGCTAGCCGTAGGGTTGCCCTCAGTATCCCCTGGAGAGGGGCCAAAATGGCTGCCAATATAGGGCAACGCCAACCTTCCTCCTCTTCAGTTTCTTCTTACCACCAGTGACTATAGCTGGAGCTTCCCCTGCTTGTCTCTTGCTTCACAAGCAGAACTAGTTCTTTTCTCATTCTGTTGTATATAGTTGTAAATGGTTTAATCTAGTTTACTGGTCTCATACGGTATGTCTACACTACAGCACTAATTCGAACTAACTTAGTTCGAATTAGTTAATTCAAACTAAGCTCATTCGAATTAGCGCATCTAGACTTAAAAACTAGTTGCGTTCACACTGATTGGATGCTGGGGCACACTTAAGGGCAGCTGAAACCGGTTCCGGCAGGGCATCAGGTCAGTAGTTGCTTTGTGTGGCTGCTGTCTGAGGCTATCTGAGGCTCGTGCTTAAAGGGACCCCCCTGGACAGCCAGTTCTCAGCTTTTCCGCTTGCTTGCCTAACTCGCCAAGAGACAGCAAAGCATTTTTCTCTGCGCCTGTCTGTGTCGGTGCTTCCCTTTGGGGATGCCGCCGCAGTTGGCAACATGGAGCCAGAGCTCGCCCTGGGCTTTCTGGTGCAGTTTTTGGACTTGCTGCTGCAAGCCTGCCAGCAATGGCTGGAGGCTGCCTGGCACCACCTGGTGCACGTCAGCCCCCTACCTCTCCAACTGGCCTCCCTGGGGGCCATGGAGGAGCTGCAGCAGTGCCCGGATACCAGCGTGCCCCGCCGCATCTGGCGTCTGGACACCAGCAGCGACTGGTGGGACCGCATCGTCCTGGAGCGC